CACTAATTTATACACCCATCCACAGTGTATGAGGATTCTTCTCAACTGCCTCCTTCCAGCATTGGTTGTTTATTTGCTTTCTTTATGGTTGCCATTCTGACTTGGTAAGAGAATTTCAGCATAGTTTAGATTTGCATTTCTATTATGGCTAAGGTTGTTGAACATTTCTTCATGTGCTTATTGGGTATTTGTACTTCTTGTTTGAGAATTGTCAGCTCAATTCATTTGCCCATTTATAAATTCGATAATTCTGTTGGTGTTTAATTTTTTGAGCTGTTTGCACATTCTGCATATTAATCCCTTGTCAGATGAATAGATGGCAAAGATTTTTTCTTCCGTTATGTAGGCCTTCTTTATACTCCAATAATTGTTTCCTTTGCTGTGCATAAGCTTCTTTTTTAATACATTTTTATTGTAAAAATACTGTACAGAGGGGGTTAACAGTTAAACGAGTAAGGCAATGAGTACATTTCCTATTGAGCATTGATGCCTCCTCTTTTGTTTGTCTCCTACCATCCCTTCCTTCCTCTTTCCAACTACTCCCCCCCAAACCTCCCATGCCAAAGTTGTAAAGTTGGTTTTCAACATAGTATCTTGTACATCTCATTGTTACAATGGGTCATCCTTTATCCTTATTTCAGCATTTTGTTTTTCTATTCCCCTCCCCAAATTAGAAAAATGTATATACAAGATGCAGGACCCTAGAATCAAATACAATGAAAACAGGGGTTATATTGTGGGGGAAGAACATACCAAAGAAACAAAAAAATCACAGAGTACATTATAAATACATTAAAAACAATAGCAAGAAAGAAAAAAAAAGCATTTGTGTCCCTATCTTGGGATTCATTTCGTGCATAAGCTTCTTAATTGTGATAAAACCCATCTATTAGTTCTTGCTATATTTCTTAAGCTATTGGATTCTTACTGATAAAGTTGTTGCTTACACATTATATTTTCTTAGCAGGAGTTTCAATGTTTCAGATCTTACATTAAGACCTTTGATATTTTGAATTGATTTTTTTACAGAATCAGAGATAGCACTCTAGTTTCAGGCTTTTATATATGGACATCTACTTATTCCTTCAGCATTTGTAGAAGCGTTTGTCTCTCCTCCACTATATGTTCTTGGCAACTTCATTGAAGAACTATATGGTTGTAGTTGGCTTATTTCTGGATCTTCCATTCTCTTCCACTGGTATATGTGTCTTTGTGCTAATACCATGCTGCTTTTGTTACAATGGCTCAATAGAATAATTTGAACTCAGATTTTTGGATACCTTAAGTACTCTTCCCCTGACTTCCTCAGTATTACTTTGGCTATTTGGGGTGTTTTCTTCCATATCAATTTTAGAGCTTTTTTTTTGTTGTTGTTTCTGTGAAAAATGGAAAGGCTTGCTTTAAGCCAGATTTCAAAGATCTCAAGAAATATCACCACATTTCTCTTTCCTTCCAGAATGCCAAGACTGTGGAGAGGCAGAGCTTAGTATAGTAAACTTTGTATTAGCTATTGGATATTTGAATAATATTTTGGATGCTTAGGGGAGTCAACCATTGACCATCTTAGATGCCTCAATTATATCCAAAATGGGATCTCTAACTCTTAGCTTTAACTTTGCCTTGGGCAAAGTTCTTTCCCTGTGGACCTTATAGCTGCCAATGGAAATCTCTGACCTCATTCTTGTAGTAAGTCAGGTATTGGGTAGAACTTTGGCTTTGTAGGGGTTAGGGAAATTGTCCCTATTCCCTCTGAAAATTTACTGAAATAAACTGACAACAGACAGAGAAAAAGGCATACAGATTTGATAAGAACATCACAGGGAAATGACCCAATGAGATTCAGAAACTTTCATTTTCTTTTTCATAGGAGTCTACTGTGGTGATGTTTCTCAGACTTGCATATGAATGTAGTCTCTCTGGTTAATAAAATTTTAAAGAGGGAATTTAATTGTTTTCCTCTTTGGTTTATCTGGCCTTTAATTGGATAAGAGAAGTTGAGAAAAAAGCCTTGTCCAGAATCTACTTCTCCTCAGGTGTCTTTAATTTGAAATAATTAGTGTATCAGGACAGTGTATTTTGGTGTAACATTACTTGGAATATTCCTCCCCCCTGCCTCCTCTAGGAAAATTCTGAGTTTATTTTAGTTTTTTTTTTAGAAGTAATGTGCTCTCAACATGAGGGCCATACTTTCATAGCTTTATTTAAAGTGGGGTAAGGGAGATTGAAAAGTAAGATATAGGATTTGAAGAAATCTCATGGACCCTGAACTATTTTGAAAATGAGTAATTTTAGATAATAGAAGTTCTATCTACTTGAAAATTTTATTTACTCATTTAGGTATATTTATTAAGTAAATATTTCTAAAATGGAGTCATACTTTTTAGACAAATTTAAACAGTATTAACCTTTTCTCGATGATTTAAGGTCATCACCTATGTACATCAGTGATTATTCTGGAAAGCAAAAATACCTTTAAAGCCATCAGAGTGTATCAAGTTGCTCACTACTACATTATTCTTACTAGATTGCTGTGACATTTTTGTTTGTATCCAACTTTAATGACCTTTGTATTACAAGCTTCATATATCTTTTTTCATATAATATTATAGAATAATTAAAATATGTCTTCTCCCTAATAAAAATATGTTGCTTGTAATTTGCTATGGTCTTGGAAAGCATAAATAATAGTACATAATTTAAGAATGGTAAGGCTTGGATTCGAAAGGCAAAGCAGAGTGAATGTGTTATAACTCACCTGACTTGTTGACATTGACTTTGGCTTTTTTTCCTGTATATAACATAGTTCAGTTAAATGAAAAAATAGTTGATATTGTGTTCCTGTGTTTCTGAGTAAGTGATGTTATTCAACGAAAGAACAGACAAATTACACAGTGATTAACAGCCGATTAGCAACATTTTGACTATCCCCAAATGATTAACACCATCACTATTACCAGCATTTATGAGTGTATTATACCTTTGTTTGGAGTATAGCCTAAATTTACCTCTACAGTTAGTGGTTATTATTATTATTACTAATTATTATTTAATGGAAGGTAAAAATAGAAAATGTATTAATTTGTTACTTCAATACCAATTCTTCTTTTTGTGTTATTTGACAGTTTACAGAGTACTTTACAAATTTATTCTCCTGGATTCTCAGCTACCACTTTATCTGACAGAACTGCTGACAATGACACCTAGCATTTACTTAGGACCATTTCTTTCCCTAGAAGCTGTAAAACTCTATCTACAAGATTCTTCCTACATATTAGTGAGGCAACAATCACAAGCAGTTGTAGCATTTTTCCTATCAGATGTAACAGATAGGCTAATTTAAAAAAAATGCTGAGGAAAAGGTCATACAACTTGAAAGCTTCCATCAAAAAATAAATAGCTAAGAAATAAAAGAAAAAAATCACTGTGCGTACTTATTTTGTTTTCAATGAAAGGAAGCCTATCTCATACCACCTTAGCAGCATTCTTCAGTAATATTTTTAATAATCTCAGTCAAAAGATCACAAAATCCAATGAACAAACATTTGTAAGGAAAGCTGCTTTTACTTCAGTGCTGTCTTTCAGTTCAGTCTCTGAAGTTACACTTCTGTAACACAGCCCATCATCTTACCTTTGTGCACCACAAGACAGAACACTAAGACACTTGCTGTGTTCAAAATCCTATTCACCTGAAGTGGTTACAGACACTGAACACTTTTCTTGAGCTGTTCTTATGGTTTAGAAATAGTCGCAGGTACTGGATCTTCAACAGTGAACCACAGAGATAAAGACTGGACGCTGGAAAAGCTGAATCTCTTGACCTGTGGTACGGTTCAGGAAACATTTCACTGATATAGGGTTGCTTGGCATTTGAAAAAAATGGCAGTAAAAGGAAGATCATTGTCATCCTCTACTCTGCCCTTCTCTTCCAAAGCAGGCTTGAAATATTGAAATGATTCATAACTATCCCCTGAAGCAGATCATAAAACCCTCAAGTGAGAGGTGTCCTCTCTGTGTCTGGGGGGAAAATGGGAGATCCAGAATCACAGGGTAGAATCCAAACACAGTTTTGTTCCTCTGTCTACACTCTTTACTTTCCATAAAATATTACATAGAAAATGCACAGACTTCATTCTTTCAGGTCTTCATTTCTCATGCCACATAACACTTCAATTAGATATAATTCACAACATCTTTGCTTATTGATCTTTTATGTTAAAGGGACCTCAGTCATGACATAAGGTAAGTGAGGGATTACTATTTACTCCAACTCCCTTGGTGTTTTATAGATTAGTAAATATATACATTTAGATATGTGGTAATAAAAACAGCAAGAATTCCTAGCTCACTGCTTTTATTTTTCTTCAGATTTTTATTGTTATAGTCTGGAGATGGAAGAGTTTGAGATTTTGCTGGGCATTTTTTTTAAATTGACATCAGGACTTGTTTCTTCCTCCTAAGTGCTGATTTGGAATGGTAAGGGTTTATTTGTTTGTTCGTTTGTTTATCTATTTATTTATTTTGCTGGTCCCAGGGTTTGAATTCTGAGCCTGGGCACTGTCTCTGAGTTTCTTTTGCTCAAGGTTAGCACTCTATTACTTGAGCCACAGTGCTACTTCTGGGATTTTTTTTTCTTATGTGGTACTGAGGAATCAAACTCTGGGCTTCAAGCTTGCGAGGCAAACACTCTGCCACTAAGCCACATACACAGCCCTATGGTAAGAGATTAAATGAGAGCTTTCAGATGGTGCTAGATTGTGGTGAAAAGATCATCACAGTCACAAAGCAAGATAAAACCTTATATTTGGAAGAGTGTGGTATGTGGCAAAGACTATAGGCTTTGAAATCAGATACATCCTATTTACATATAATATTTCCTGGCCAGGTTATCAAATTTCTTTTCTTTCTTTCTTTTTGTTTAGCTTTTACATCATTTTTACATCATTCTCAGAGCCAACCTGCGTGAGTTAACAAACTCCCACATTGCTAACTATTGTAGGAATCATATTCCTTCTTACATGTACCAAAATCTCATACTCAACAATGACTTCTGGGTTGCAAAAGAGAGGACTTACTGTTTGCAGGGGTCTGTAAGGCTTTGCTACAAATTAAAGATACACACACACACACACACACACACACACACACACACACACAAAGTGCCACTCATATTTCTTAAACATGCTTAGTCTTGGTTTCCTCATCTACAAAATGTGCAGTTGTCACACAAAATAGAATTGTGGATATTAATTGAGATTTCTTTGGATTTAGTACTAACTGTACAATTAATTTCCTTTTGTTTTCAACTAGCTAAGTGACTTGTGGGAGTCTCTGCATGTGAAATTTCAAATTCTTTGACCATTAAAAAACTGGCTAATATAACATTGAGTGATTTCCTCCTAGAACTATCAGTGTGTGATCATAGCAGTGCATCCTGTTTCTTCTGTAGAGGAATTATCTTTCATATAAACCAAAGTGGCATTGGAATGTAATCTCAGAATGGATTTATATGCTAGAAATCCAAAACTTGTATTTTTATTTTTATTATTCTTTGTTGAGTAAAAATGATAGGTGCAGTAGGTACTGAGTAGTAATTTCTTGTTTGATTATGATAAAATTCTGTGCTTGAATTACTCCATTGTGTGTGTTCCTTCTACCAAAAATGTATTTAAAAGTAGTCAAAACAGACTTCATTTTCTCAATAGAAATATGAAAATGTATATTATAGTTTTTCATTGTTAAGTTAAAGTCACATGATTTAGAGTACAAAAAAAGACAAATGTAACTAACAGCATGGTTGTACTACTTAAAAATTTTAAGTGATTATAAATAATGAATAGATACAATGCACTTAAGTTTAAGCTATGAGGTGCTCACACAGTAATTTAAGGCATCAATACTCTAACAGTGTTTACTAGGAATAAAAGGTAACTCTTAAACTCGCACTTCAAAACATAGTCCATGAAAATATAAGCAATAAATACCTTTATGAAATAAGGAAACACTTATTAAATATTGTAGAACTATGTGCATAACTCTTTTAAAGGAAACACCAGATAAAAGAAGACTGGGAGAACACTGGAGTGTTATTCAAGGAGCAAATCTGAATCAAGGATTCAGAGTAGCATGAGGAGAAAAGCAGCTGAAAGGGGTAATTTATCTGTCTCTACCTTTTCCTGACTGGTTATTGCCTGAGTAATATCAGCTCAGCATAATGAGTAAGAATTGGAGATGTGCCAATTAAGGTAGAGCCTTGCTTCTTATCTTTTGCTGCATTAGATGATGGAAAGAGGGGAGAGAATGTTGTCGTGGTAGCCTGGAACTGGCTGAGGGCAGTTCATTAGAATGGATTAATGTTTACGGATACTGTCAGTCAGTTGTTAAAAAATGCTATCTTAAAAAAAAATTATAATATACAATTAAATGTTACATTAAGCCCAAACAAAAATACTCAAATTAGATCACTTATTTTACTTTATGCTGCTATTCACATCTACCATATTTGTACAGTGGAATACTATATAAGAATGTGGTCCTACACATTCCTCTGAATTCTACAATCAGCAGCACAGTATTAGTAACTTGAAATTAGCCTTGGTAGGGATAATTACACTATAGATATTGACAAACACTGCAAAAAAGGGAATGTTCATTTATAGAGGTTAAATATAAACATGACTGACTAGATATAAGTGAGTAATATCTTTTTTTTGTGGTGGTTTGGGGATTAAACTCAGAACCTGATGCTTGCTAGATTAGTGCTCTATCATTAGAATGGTGCTTTCCAGTTCATTTGCTGTTAGTTAGTCTGTTTTTAGTTAAGATCTTGCATTATTCTGCCTCGACTGGTCTCACACTATGAGACATGACACCACATCCAGCTTGTTTTTGAGGCAGGCCTTGATAACTTTTGCCTAATCTGGCCTTTGACTCCATTTGTCACCACACCCGCAAGTTACATTTTAAAAAGTACTTTTCTGAGAAAAAGTGCACATATACAAAAAAAAAGATTTTCATTAAGAATACTCATATACCCATTTCCTCAGTTTCAATGATTATCAACATTTTTTGTCATCTTGCTTAATCTTTTGCTTCCCCTTTTCTGAAGTATTATAAATCACATCCCAGACTAACACATATCTCTAATGCTTTGTCATTTAAAAAACACATCATAGTTTGATTATACCAAGTTATATGAACAGTAATTTCCAGATACTCTGTAATACTACTTCATATTCAATTTCCTAACCATTTCAAAGGTGTCTTTTTAAAATTGGCTTTTTGAATCAGGATCTAAATATGTGAGTTGGTTTTTTTTTTTTAAATAAAAGAGACCGGAAAGTTATGAGATCTGTCAGAAATGTCATTAAAGAGCAGGAAAGGCAGATTTGACAGAACATAGTTCAAAGTAAGGATTAGAGAAAAATAAAACTGTTTCATGTTTATGGCCTACTGAGATCAGACTCTTCGATAAACTGGTTATACAAAGAAGGACAAAATATGTCCTATGCCTTAAAAAAGCATACAGTCCAAGGGAACAGTGGTACTTAACTTTTGAGGAGTCATAAATCCTTGTAACGAATCTCTTAGCCTATGTGTGTATGCTCATACTTATTCACGATAATTTTTCATGCATCCTGGAACTAATAGAACCAGAACAAAAACCTTACATTTGAGGGAAAGAGGAAAACAAGTACATGAAAAATTAACATCTAAAGTGATAACACTAAAGCCAAATATTCTAAGTACTATTGGAGCACAGGGCAAGAAAATATCTGATTGTAGAAAGGAGCAGAAAAAAATGACATTGGAAGAGGAGTTTGACATTTTTAATTAACAGTTTGTGAATCAGAGATGGTGACTAGGAGTGACATGAAGAAGTTGAATGTGGCAAGGGATAGTGCTACAAGGGACATCTTAGCCAAAAGGTCAAGAGCCACACAGACTCAGATGAAGAAATTAGGTTTAGGATATTAAACTAGTGAGTGAAATAATCAGATTTTCATATGGAAAAACTCAATGGTGCAGCAATGTTGGGTAGGAAGATTGGACCCAATGAGACCTGGAAATAGCTATAGCAATAGTCAAAGTGAATGATGATAGGGGCTAGACTATGGCTAGATCAAGGAAGTATAAAAAGAAAGAAACATTTTAGGAGATATTAGAAAGTTAAATAAGTGATTCACCTACCTGTGAATGGATTGTAAAAGAAAAGAGAAATGATGAGAGTAAAGTTCCTTAATTTAAAGCTCTAGATGAGAAGTAATGTCATTAGCTGAAGTAAATTACTTGACATCTGGTAGATTTAAGGGAGAACTCAAAGAGTAGAATTCCTTAGAAGTTCAAAATATTAGTTCAACAAAATAAGCATCAGGAAATGGGTATTTAAGAGGGGTGGGAAATGGATGAAGGAAGAAAAGAAAGGGAGGATGCAGTAAAAAAAAATCAATGTCCCTCCCACAAGATGGACAGAAAGTGAAAGAAGGGGTGGATTGAGAATGATGGGTGAGAACGTTGAAAGCGGTGGCATTGATCAAGATGCTTTGTTGAATGGCAACTCCTTTGTACAACTACTTAATAATACAAGTATTTTTCTTAAAGACAAAAAATAATACTGGATATGTAACTGGTCAGTAGAGAGAGCACAAAAGGGAACAGGCTACAGTTTGGGGAGTTACCGAGCTTACCTCTGGAACACACAAGAAAGGAATTCCAGACAGAAGTCAAAAGAATGCCCTGGGAGCTGTGTGGCCCAATGCTTTGAATGTAGGTCAAGTCTAGTTTAGGGTCTTTTAGAGTTTAAAATTTTCATGATCACAGATGGTTCATGAGTAATTTTTAGACCCAGTGAACCTCTCAGACTTCTCTATAAGCAAATTTTAAAACTTAATCCAAGCTAGGTATGATGGCATATACTCATAATGGCAACCATTTCATAGTTTGAGGCCAGCCTGAGCTATGTAGGTAGAGCCTATCTTTAAACATGAATAATCTCTAATTTTGGATTTGAAAAAAAAGTTACCTCATATTTTCTTCTTATGCCTTCAAGGTGATCACATTTTCCAATGCGTATTTCCAAACACAAATCTGACCATATTTATGTCTTGCTTAAACCTATTTAGTAGCTTCCCATTGCCCCAAGACAAAGCCCAAACTTTCCTTTTCCTTATTTCTTTGTCATTAGTAGTACTATTCAGTTTGGATGTTTATTTCTCCAGGACTCTCTCCTAAAGCCTTGGGGCCAAGTCTTTGTGAAGTAGAAAATAATTAACTTTTTACTTACCCTTATTACCTTCTATTGAACAACTTACTCTCAGGGACTGGCACCCCTTAGGAGAGAGTAGCGGTGGAGAATGGAATCCAAGGCCTGCTCTGTGCAGGCAGTTTGGCAGGGTTTGCAGGTATGGTGGTGAGGAAATTGAAGTTTCAGTTCCAAATTCCTTTGCAATTATTGTGCACATTGTTTTCCAGAAATCAAAACGCAAAACTTAGTTCTCAGGCCTACTTAATTGTGCTTCTTGCTAGTTTCCTTGGGTTAACCATAGCATTTTCTATGACTGAAAATAAATAAACCAGTTTCTGCTCTCTGCTCACTTCCAAAGACTTTGTTTTAACCAGTCCTCACTTTGATTTTCTTATCCAAGAATGAGGACTGAGCCTCTAAATTAAGAGTCTCACATGTAGGTGAGAAAGAAGGCATCCATAGAAGCTGGTGAGAGAAAAACAAGTAATGTGTAATTTTTTACCTTGGAAAGGCAGGGTGTGAAATGAGCAAAAGAATAGGTCACTGGAGTCATGTTAAATTTTGTGTTATGCTGTGTAGACACATCGTAAGATAAGTGTTAATCTAATGCTAGGCACACTATGAAAATCTGTCAGTCCAAAATCATGTTCCTTCTTCAAGGGACTAGAGCTTTGCATTTCTTAGAAGCATTGATCAGCCTAAGTGCAGGTCGATCAAAGCTTTTGGCTTTGCATTTAAATGTTCATCAATCACATTTTATTAAAAATTTAAGGCAAGAGTGAGAATGGAAAAGTATATGAGTCTGCGCTTATGACAAAGAAGTCAAGTGGAGGTTCACTCTGAAATGACCTGAGAATTTCATAATGTGTAGAATGTTAGGGACCCGTTT